TGAATTGGTGAATTGGTCAGTGGCGGCGCCCGCGGTGAATTGGTGAATTGGTGAATCGGTGAGCGGCGGCACCCGCGGTGAATTGGTGAATTGGTCAGTGGACAAGTGCTTGCGCATGTCCACTGCCGTTGGATGGCGGGTGGGAGAGGTGGGATGCTTTGAGCCCGTTCGTGCGACGAACCTCAGCCTTATCTGTCAAGGCTTCAGCTCTTGCACTGACACTCTAGTCGCACTTTTTCTCTGCTCCTCCGCAAAGTTGTACAAGTGCTTGCGCATGTCCACTGCCTCCACCCATTCGACCCAATCAAACCGGGCCAAAAGCCCTTCCAACGGCAGTCAACGAAAACCATGTTGTAGGTGGAAAACCAAATTGCATAAAAACTTCCGCCTGTTCCAGCATGCTGGGAAAAAGCCGCATCACCGCTAAAACTTTGTCAGCCACATGGTCCTGGAGCTTCGAGAGGAACAAAACAGACGAAACCTCCTGGATATAGATTTCCATGATCCGGGCATTGAGCCAACGACCTCTGCGTCGAACGAACTCGCCGTTTTCGGTGGCGTGGAGCAACCAAGTGGCTCCTCCAGCTCTCATGGATCCAAGGTCCAGGGGCCTCATGTTATTGTCCTTGAAGCTGTTCAGGTCAAAAGCCTCGACAAGTTTTGCAAAGCGGGAGCGGAACGTGGCGGGGGCGTATTGCCAGAGTTTTTGCTGTCGGTGCCTCGTCTTAAACGCCAGCTCAACCACCCTCATAAGTTGAGGCTGGTCCAGTCGTAAAGCCTGATGGCGGGCAGCAGAATTCCTCGTTTTGGGGTCCCGCACGGCCATAAGGATGTAGTCGACTGTAAACTGAACGTCGCTGGGCAGAACGAGGTCACACCTGAAAGCGGCAAAAACTTCTCCAATCCTGGCCAAACCACCCCAGGCCAGAGCCAAGACCCCTGCAACATCAACCCATCCCCAAAGGAGGGCTGATGTGACAAGGGCAAGAAGCACTTGCCATGGCATGGCCTGGTGGTGGATGTGGGGCTCCATTCGCTGCCACTGGAAGGCCACATCCCAAGCAGGCTGCAGGAGGCGACGAATCTTTGGGAAACGACTCGCCACCGCGTTGACCGTTTCAGCGTAGTGGTTGTATGGCCGTCCGCTCTCGTAGAGAGCACGACCATAACGTGCCAACAAAGCATTGGTCAGATCAACATCCTCAGAGCAACTTCTGGCAAAAGCTTGTTCAGTCACGGCCTCGTCCTGTAGCCACTTAAGAAGAGCAGCCCAAAGAGTATCCCTTAAACTCTGAGTAGCACGCTCCACAGGCCTGCCTTCAGGAAGGGGCCTAAGGCTTCTGAAGTCCTGTCGTGACACATCTCCAGCGTTCCTCGGCGGAAGGGATCCATGGCGGCAAGGGGCTCCTAAAAGAACCTCAAGAAGAAGCCCAAACCAAAGCCAAAACCCGACCCTGAAAGAAACTGGTGAGGGAGGGCCTTCGCCCGGGAAGCCCAAGGAGGAATCGAAATCCACCGGGGGCGGTCGATACAAGAGAGCCGGGAGGCCCGAATAACGATCCGCAGGCAAGGGAGGCTGCCAGGCACAAGTCCGAAGTACAAGCCGAACCCAGTTGGAAGTCCAACGGCGGAGGCGAGGCAAAGCAGCGAGAGTCTCAACAGGAACAGAGGCATGCAGAGGTGCTCCTGGCACCGGCTGAGCTAAGGGGGCTTCTCTCGAGGGGGCGTCCGCAGGCATCAAACGAGTAGGGCAGAAAGGAAGGGCCCCGAAAAGCCCATAGGCCACGCTCACAGCCCCAATCTGACGGAGCTCGAGGGACAGGGCACTGGAAGGAGATCGTCCCTTGCTGATGGCACACCGAGCCACGTTTGAGTCAATCATCGAGGCGAAGCGGGAGGGGATACTCCGATGAGCCTTCATGAAGCACAGACGTTTGAAGGCCCCAGTCTCATGGCAGTTGATGTGTTTCTGCCTAGCCCAGGTCCACACCGCCTCGACCTTCCAATCCAAAGTTAAGGCCAAGTCGTTAACCAAAGCCGACTCGAGCCCGTAGATCTCAAGGTCATAGTCGGCACGGTCTTCGGTAAGCTTGGAAAGGCCCCTAGAGAAGACGGAGGCAAGGACCTCGGCACAGGGTAAGGGCAGCGCGGCGTCAGGTAGAGAGACCGACCATGACGAGAGCCGGGAAGCTTAGGGACCCTTACCTGAACCACGTCGGGACGGGACGCAAGAGCAACCCATGAAGGCAGGGCTGAGGCAACACTGCTCCCTGGTTGGGAGATCATGCTTGGTAGACCAAGTTGCCGAGCAAGGCGGAGGAGAGCCAACGCTCGCAACATCACACGGTTTTCTCGGAGCACCTTAGGGCTTGAAGTCAAACCTAAGGGCCTCTTAAAGGTGCGCAGGGGCGGCAGAGCCGCCGAAGAAAAAGTTGGCACAGGAGCAGACAGGAGGATGGAGTCGAGCTTCCCGGCCTCCAGCAGGTGGCTGAGCCACCTAAAGAACACATCGTCACACAAGTCATAATGAGGAGAAAAAGCCGGGTCGAGGAGTGGGCCCACAATCCAACCCCTAGCGGCCAAGGCATCCTGGATGTACCGGCTAGTGCCCCCGACTTGAAGGAAATGAAAGCGGAAACCCACAGGCCTCGGGCACGATGTCACAGGGGCTTCGGCCCAAAGAGCCGAGTCAAGGGCGAGGGGCCCCTTTGCATTGACACCCCCATCAAACTCCTCAAAGGAGGGGTCAGCCTTAAGCAACAGGGCCTGGGCTCTGGAAAGAAGCTTGGCGGCGGCCCCCTTCCTATCAGAACTCCGCCAGAGGAGAGGAGTAAGGGAGTCTGGGGCTTTAGCCGACACAATAGCAGCCCGGTCGTCGCTGCTGTCGGTCGCGTACACCTGTGGATCCCAAGGAGCCGCGAGGTCAGCCACAGCCAAAGGGGCCAAGGCAGCACACACAGCAAGTTCATCAGCGACGGGCCTGGGAAGAGGGATGACCTTGGGGTTGTCGGGGTCCATCAGACCGGCAGGGAATAGCCGAAAAGAGTGGCTGAAGATCGACATAAGGGGCCGTCGATAGAGAAGGGCTGAAACCCAGCCGCCCAGAAGGCAGGAGTGCAAAGCATCCGTGGTCTTCGGCAAAGCGGCCAAAGACAAAGTCAAAGAGGCCAGCGACAGACGTTTTGCGCACGGGGCCCCCGCGGGGACGACACCTAGAGACCGAGTGGACGGGGTCGAATCGATCTCTGCACCGGCAACCTTGGCCTTGTCGGCCCCGACAATGTCCTTCTCGGTAGAGCCGAGCAGGGAGGACCCTGCATAAGCGGAAGTCGCAGCGCGCAGGCAATCAACAGAAGTAGCCTCCGAGGGGGGAAGCCTCACGTCCTCGGTTGAAATGCTGTAGTAATCATCTATCACCAATCCCTCGAAAGTACCCCCACAGGGGAAGGGCTCGTTGGAGCGAATCTCCTGGTGGTCTTTAAGCAACCCGTGTTGTTTCAACAGACACCGGTGAGCCGCCGTGGCGATCTCGACGCCAAGGTGGTCCCCCTGACATGTTGCCTGGAAGCATGCAATGACAGGTCTGTCTGAGACCAACAAACCAAAGCCTCGGTCCCCTGGCTTGCCTCTAAGAGCTGCTGCCTCAGCTCGCCTTTTGTGGAGCTGGGCCAGGGCAGTGGTACCTGCCAGCTTGGACTCGGGGATCGGTGGGAAGAGGGCGTTGTGGGCTGCTTTCCTGGGCCTGGCCAGAAGCTGATGATAGAAGTCTTTGCGGTCGGTCACGCAGATCCTGAAAGTTGAGACCTTTGGGTCGATGCACAGCCCAAGAAGGGCGGGACCGCAAGGGAGACCAACGCTAGGGCCACGCAAAGCCCGCTCACGAAAATTCCGGGCTCGCCTATCCCCGATCTGCCTGTCACAGCTTTCATTCTTGTAGCAATTGAAGACCCTCAAGGCATCACGAGGGGTGACTTGGTCATCGTAGGAGTCCTTAAGATACAACAGGCCGTTCCGATCCCACTTCCGAGCCAGGGCGGCGATTTCAGCGGGATCCTCCCGGGCAAGGGAAGGGACCTCAAAAAGAGGAGGAGATCCCCCGTAAAGAAGCACATCGGGCTCCAAACAGGCCATGGCAAGATCGGGCTCTCCTTCAAGGTAAAGGACCGGATCCCAGTGCCCCAAGCCCGTAATCTTCAAACGTTCAGCGTTGAGAGAAGCATAGGGCCTCAAAGGGCTGCTGGTAGGAGGCCGGCTCTTCACAGGCACACCCTCGGAAGTCTCAGGCGAGACGGGTGGTTGTGGTAACGACGTGGGGTCATCAGGAATCATGGTGCAAGAAGGGCCCGGAGCAGCTCCATGAAAAAGCGGTCCATAGGGATCGGTCCCCGGACCCACCCAAGTAAGGAGCTCCGAAAGCTCAGAAAGGCCCGACAGAAGAGAGGCGGAGCGGCGCCCAGCAGAACTCACTGCAAATGGTTCCACGGCGCCGCAGGCCTTGCAGAGGGAGGCTATATATACCTGAGGGCTTTAGCCTGACTCCGGTTCGGTCGCCGACGCAGCGCCTGCAAAGGAGAAGGGAGCATACCTGAGAAGAGGAAATTGCAAGCCATGACGGCGACGTGGGCAATCCTCCGAACAGCAAGCCTCGACCTAACTCTGGAAGACTTTGCAGGCGGGATGTGCTGGAAGCATCCTGGAAAAGGCACCGGCAACGGAAATAAGGCCTGAGCAGGACCTGGCGGCAGGTCCTGGGAGAGCTGCAGAGTGGACAAAAGAAAAGCTCCAAAAGCGCCCCTGGTGCTTACGATCCTCGCGGCAAGGCTAAGACCATAGGCCCGGAAGCCCAACAACTTTGGAGGGTCTGGCGAAGGAGGACTGGCCGGCTTTGGTTCAAACGAGCAGGCCGAGACGTGCAACTGGGCTGGTTCAGTGGGGCACGAGGCCGAAGAAGACCCCACAGCGCAAACCCGAACTAAATTAAAGCAAGGACTAGGCCCATGAGACAACCCCTGTGCATCGGCAAGAAGCCTAAAGGCAGGCCAGGAGACGAATCTCTGGGTTTCTCCGGGAAGCGGCGTTGGCTTAGTTATAGAAGACCCGCTAAACCACAAACGGCGAGTACCAAAGGAGACCTCACGGTGCACAGGTGATCCAACGGGGTCACCGAACAAGGGGCCAGCGACCCTCCTGTGGCAGTCAAAACCCCGGGTTTCTCCGGGAAGCGGCGTTGGCTTGCTCACAAAGGACCTGCTGAACCACAAAAGGCGCACACCTTGAGACCTCCTGCCTTCGACCTCAGGCATAGCAAGTGCTATCGGCAGTGGGCCCGCGACCCTGAGACACGAGACAAACCGTCGAGTTTCACCTGGGAGCGGCCTGGGCTTATTCACACAGGACCTGCTGAACCACAAAGAGCGCGCACCTTGAGACCTCATACCTTCGACCTCCGACATAGCAACTGCACCTGGCATTGGGCCCGCGACCCTGAGACACGAAGCCGACGGCCGAGTTTCACCTGAAAGCGGCATGGGCTTATTCACAAAGGACCTGCTAAACCACAAAAGGCGCACACCTTGAGACCTTCCGCCTTCGACCTCCATCATAGCACCAGTTCTCAGCAGTGGGCCCGCGACCCTGAGACACGAAGCGAACCATCGAGTTTCACCAGGAAGCGGCGTGGGCTTATACCTATAGGACCCACTAAACCACAAACGAGTGCCAGGGGAAGGGCGAAGGCGGCCAGCAGGCAGAGGCAACTCACCTTCTTCAGCAGGAGCCGCAGAGCCGACGGCACAAAGGAAACGGCCCCGGCAGCTCAGGCAGGAGACGAATCTTTGGGTTTCTTCGGGAAGCGGGTCGGCGAGGCTTGGCTGTCGCAGGCGGGTCCTGGTCCGAGGTGGCACCTTTCGCCTTTGGGGCACCTATGGTTTCTGCTCGCCGGCTTTGAATCAGATCGATCTCCCGGACGTAACTCAGAGTGGTAGTGGCCCAAGCCTGGGGAGTCAGACCCCCGAAAGCCCTCAACCTTGGGTTCTGGCTCTGGGGCCGGTGCTGAAACAACTGATGGGGTGGGTCCTCCAGGAGGCATAGCAGGTACCCTATGTCCCAGGCCCCTCCATCTTGAGCAGCCTGCTCTACCGCAACCAGGCTGAGTGCCACCAGCTCCTCGGCCCCCAGAACATCGCCAGCAGCCAGGGTGTCGGCTATGTTTGACAGAAGCCAAAAGACTATCCCCAAGGACCTCTGGTGACCAAAGCCTCCAAACCTTTCGGCATAAGCAGTAAAGAGCGGGCGGCGGGTCAAAAGATCTTCCCTCGAAAGGGGAGCCGGTTCGGAAGGGGATAAACGTCTCAAGGCCTGCTGGCTCACCTGAAGGAAGAAGCCCCCAGTCCTGGCCGCAAGCTGCTCCTGCAACTTCTCCCGCTTCGTGGCTCCCCGGGTCCCCAAAAGAGCCCCGGAGGTGGGCCCCAAAGAAGAGTCTCCTGAGTCGGCCTGTGCCACCAGATGCGACACAAGAGTCCCCAACACCTGGCTCTGTCTCAACATGGCATCCTCGAAGGGGCTGGCTGAAGTCGGCACTACGAGTGCCCCGGTCTCGGGATCCTGCACCACCTCTTCGTCGAGGAGGGCCTGCTCTGAAGCAAGAGGGACCGGAGGGGGAGGCACAGGGGCGCGGACTTTCGGCGGGTTCCCCACTAAACCTCTTAAGGTACCCAAAGGATTCGGCAGGGCAGGGCTCGGGCCTATGGGGAACGAAGCGCGATGTGCAGGCATAACTCCCGGTGCTGAGGGAGCGGACGGGGGAGCGGATGCCTTGACCTCCAGAGCCTTTTGTCGGGAACTTATCTCCTGGACCTGCTGGGCTAAAGCCGGAAGCATAGACAGCATTGTCTCCATCTGTTCGGCCAGCTGTGAGGTCGTGGGCCGTTTGGGCTTGGTTGAAGCCTTCCGCTTGGGACCGGGCTCCCGCAGCTCGGGGGCATCCATATCGGGCTCTTCGGCGGCCGAGTAGAAAGCCATTCTCTCGCCGGTCAAGGTGACCAACCATTCCTTCGCGGCTGAAAGAACATCGGAGTGCACCAGCATAAGGTGAGGGGAGCCGCTGAGGAAAGGTAACACCTCTATGGGGGAGGTCACAGGGTCGTACCGAGACAAATGCTGCACGACCTCTTCCGAAAAATCCACAACCAGGACAGCAGTGGACTCCCCTGTTGCACGCAAAACTCCTTCCTCGTCCTCCTCGGCAAGGCCCGCGGAAATCTGACAAGAAGGGCCCACTAGGAGCTCGGGGCCCCCGCCAAGACCAGCGGCTAGCAGAGTATCGTCCACGGCACCTATGGGGATGGCAGCTAGGACGCCACCGGCCCGCCTCAGCAAGGGCACGAACACCACCGGCTTGGGAGGCAAGGTGGGAAACTCCATGACCAGACAACCGGCATCTGCAGGGGCAGCAAGGAACTCGCTGACTAGCTCCATTCTGAGCTGTCGGGGAAGCGCGCGCCCGAGGCGCGTACGTAAACTCTGCTTTCACCTTCGGTCGGAAAACCGTGACAGACTGTGTCGGAGTGCTCAAGCGGTCCCACGTGGAGTTTGAAACGACCAAAGGAAGTGAAGTACCTGACCGTGCGGTCGCCTCGGAAACGGAGGCACACGTAAACACGGCTGCGCACAGACAAAGAAGGAGTGGCGTCGGGATAGCTCTGTTCCCCACGCAGCACAGACCCTGCCTGCAGACCTGCTTGCCACGCACGATTTGCCCTGGGCACACGGTCCTCACGTCGAAGAGAGGAGACGAGGAAAAGGGCCTCACTAGGCAAAGGGTCACCAAGCCTGGGCGACCTAGGCGGAGGTGAGGGAGCAGCCGATGCAACAGCGAAGCCAGAGTCCCCAGGAGAGGAAGAAGAGGGCTCAACCCTATCAGCCCTAGGGCTATCAACCACTTCCCAATCAGGGCCAGAATCCTCGAGTTCAGCAAGGGCGCCGCGAAGAGCAGCGACAGCAGATCTGAGTGTTTCAGTGAGCGACCTCCGGCTCATGCAAATAGCCTCGGAGGCGTAAGGAAGCGGGCCGTGAAGGGGATGCTCGGGAGGAGGGTTCAGGAACAAAGGCAGCCTGGGCCACCGGCGTAAAGAGGACACCTCTGAAGAAGACCAAGGCCAAAAGAAACCCAACCGACAAGCCGGACCCAAAGACCAAAATCAAGAGGGTCAGCGAGCCGGAGCAATGGGCCGGGCAGCCTAGCCCCCACCAGTTCAGAGAGGAACCCTGAACAAGAAACCCGAACACCCGGGCCACATCCATGCTTTGAGCCCGTTCGTGCGACGAACCTCAGCCTTATCTGTCAGTGGCGGCGCCTGCGGTGAACTGGTGAATTGGTGAATCGGTGAGAGGCAGCACCCGCGGTGAATTGGTGAATTGGTGAGCGATCTGCCTGGAATTGAGGCACAGTCTGGACCTGCCTGGAAACAAGGCGCAGTTAGAGACTCCGGGCCCAGGGCCCCAGAATTCACCATCCTCCCGGGCCCAGGGCCCCAGAATTCACCGCCTCCTCCCGGGCCCCCAAACCCCCAGAATTCACCAATTCACCGGCTTCCCGGGCCCCAGAATTCACCAATTCACC